GCTGCTCCCCACCAGCAAGACACAGTGTGCTCTGCAGCAGAGGGATTCCATGGTGCCTCCACCTGCAGGCAGCCTTCAAATGCTATGGTGGCCACTGTACAGGTGACTGGATCGTTGGCACAGGCATCTCTTGCTTATTCCTCCATGCCACAACCTCCCTTGGCAGCACAGGTTAGGAAGATGTGTCTGTTGCACTCCAGGGAGGCAGGCGTGCTGAGGAATGGGGAGCAGAGGCTGCTGGGAAGACAGGAAATAGCAGGAAGAAGGATCTGGAAAAGGCTTCCTAGTCCCACAGTGGAAAGAGATTGAAGATGTAGACAAGAATGGCATTGAAATTCAGACAGCTCTGTGCAGGATTTCAGAACCTGATTCCTGTGATTATGCTTATAATCAGTTAACAGAATGGACCAAGGCCTTCCCGGCAGTGCCTAGGAGCACCTAGGCTCATTCATGTAAAATACATACGATGCACTACGGAGCTCCTTGTATTCTGGCCCATAGGAGTGCGAACCCAACTTCCCCACCTCGACTGTCCTGTGGGGCTCTTTGTTGGAAGCTCTGCCCCGGTGGAGGATGCAGCAGGAGGAGATGGGTAGGTTGTGAGGGGGCCCTGGATGTAAACAGTACTCATCTTCTCAGCCCCGTTCATTTTCCCCTAAGAACCGTTTCCATTACTCATGCTCACTTACTTGTTTAGAAGTATGTTCAATATTCAGTGTGTAACCCTCACTGCCTGTGTGCATAAGATATAATTATGGAGTGCCGTAAGGTTCTAACTAATTCAGGCCAGTTCTCCTTTAGTCACCATTGAGTTCATGTCTTTCTTCGGCTGTGGTCACAGTGTGACCTCCAGGTTGTGGTCACAGTGCTTCCACTGAAAGAAACACTCCCCTGCCCCTGTCTCCTCTTTACTGTTCTGCCTTTGGTTGGAGGGTGGATTGCTTGGATTCATTTAAGGGACTTTGGTCTACAGAATTGGGTCCTGACCAGGAAAGCCAGAGGATGGGTGGGGAGGGCAGCACCAACCACTTAGGTCAGGTCCCCCCACTTCCTGATCTGTCTTCCTCCTCGTATCTTCCTTGTTCCCACTTTCCCCCAGAACAGCAGAAGCGCTGTCCATCTCTCTGGCCTCTGGACTAGAAAGAACAAATAGACTGAGAATGTCTTTATTTCACTTCCCACTTGGAGAAGCCACATTCTTTTTGATGCAGTACAGCTTTTGACTGTTCCTGGCACCTACCATAGGGCGCTGAGCTGAGGTCTGTGTTGGATTGGTGGGTACCAGGCTGCTTTGGACCTGGCACCATGGGAAGGGCCTCTGGGGCTCCACAGCTTCCGTGTGGAACTCCAGGATTGCAGTGCAGTAGCAGCTTTCCTGTTTGACATGGGGACGCTGGGCGTGGCTGTGTCATCCTTGGCTAGCTGCCAGGCTCAGTGGGTACTGTATTTGTGTTGTATGGTTATGTTGGCAGCATTCCTACCTTGCATGAGGGCCATGTGGGGCCCACGTATGGGCTCAGGGGGTGGCTTAGTGAAGCAGAAGTGTTCAGCTGGTGACTAAGCAAGTTACCCAGAAGAGGATAAGTTCAGCTGATCTGTGACGTGCGAAGGTTTATCTGGTGCGAGTTTTGCTGGGGGCCAGGTGAGCATGAGCAGAGCATAGGTGAGCAAAGCCAGGTATGCTCTGGCTGGTGGGTTGGTGTCACTGAGCTTTGTGCACAAAGACCCAGCATTATTTGTGCACAAAGACCCAGGTCTGGATCGGCCTGGCTGGTTGAGTGGATACAATACCATCAGAATCCAGGGCACATAATTAAGAGAGGAAAGAGGCTGCCTTAGGTTCCCATTGCTGGACGCCATACCTGACACCCAGGCACTGGAGGAGAGGTTTATCATGGGTTCAGTCCATGGTCAGCAGGCTCCAAGGTAGAATGGGCACAGCTGCAGGGTCTGGGTGGAGGAGAGCTGCTCATGTCACGGTGGCCAGAAAGTGGAGAGAAGTGAAGAGCCTGGGAAAGAACACATCCTCCTAGGTCGCACCCGGGGCCTGCCTCCAGCCAGGCCCCGCCTCCTGCATGTAGTCAGCCATGGTTGGATCACCAGTGAGCACAGCACCCCGTGACCCAGTCACCTTGTGGCTCCTGAGATGTTAGGTTCCCTGTAGAGCTAAGTCGTGGCACAGGCCTAGCAGGCAGCACCAGCACATTGGGCTGTGAGGCCAGCAAGTCTTCCTGGTTGGCAAGCCTGTGGGTCAGCCCTGGGCCTGTCCTACCTTCTCTCGGGCCACGAAGTATCTACATGATAAAGGCCCGTTTCTGCTGTGTGATCTGGGTTCTGTATAGGACTTTGGGACTTCTGATCAGAAGAGAAGCTGTGTTTTCTAAAACCCAAAGACCTATAACAGCATGAAGAGCTCAGCTCAGTCAGAACAGCAGGGCACAAAGCTGGCATCTGAGGGGCCCTCACCAGCCCAGCCTCATGGGAACCTGAGCCTTGTGAGAGAGTCAGGAGGAGCCCGAGCAAGGCCTGGTGAGGGCAGACCAGAAGCTCAGAGGTCAGGCACGCACGCTCAGTCAAAGCACCCACTCTGAGTTTTGAACCATGAACACATCTCCAAAGGGTTCAATAGGATTTCAGATATTAAATGAAAGTAAAGCTCATCATCAAATTTTTGATAAAGTTGCAAAGCCTTTAAGAAAATAGCAAACCAAGCAGCATAATGCTATGTATGTGTAATCCCAGCACTGTGGGAAACTGAGGCAGAGAGGTCACAAAGTTCACACCCAGCCTGGGCAGCTTAGCAACCTAGTAAGATCCTGTCTCGGAATTAAAAGTAAGAAGGACTGAGGATGAGGCTTAGTGCAGAGGCCCTAGGCTCAATCCCCAGGACCACAAAATTAAAAGGGAGGGGTTGCGGGGAGGAAGAAAGAGAGAGAGCAAAGGAGAAAGAAGAGAGCCAGTCAGCATGCATTTGTATTTGAGCCACGTTCAGTGCAGGCATAGCTGAAGACTGAGCCCTGGAGTGTAGGGAGCGTTTCCGAGGTAGACCAGCAATCCAGCCCCACTTGCCAGGGCACCAGGCTACCTGGGGCTCCTGCCTGGAGACCGGAACCTTTGTAATAGGAAGCTACATGGTCACCTGGCAGCCCTTCCTGGGGCCTGGCCAACTCCCATCAGCCTTCTGTCAGCTTCTAGCCCAGCCAGACATGGCGCTTTCTGCTCCCTCCATAGAGCACAGCTGAGGCCAGGGAAAAGTGCCAAGCTGTGTCCTTCCCACGGATGCACCCAGATAGTGACCTTCCGGGCCCTTGCTGCCTCTGTGCCCTCTGTTGGGGACAGGGATGGGTGCCCCCTCTCCAGGGACAGCACGGCCATCTCTCCATCTCTGCCCTGTGCACCTGGGTGCAGTGGCTCAGGCCTGGAGCCCTCTCATGTGCAGTAAAGAGCGTCTCAGGCCCCTTGAGAGCTTTGCTTACAAACCCAGTGTGGTGTCCTCATCGGGGTGCCCTGCATATGTGCCCTGGAGACAGAGGTACTGCAGTCTGCACAGGGAAATAAAGGGGTGATGGAGGGAAATGGGGACCACACCCATGCATGCACGCACAGATGACACCTGCTAAAGCCTGGCTCACAGGCAGCTGACTGGGGTTGAGTACCACAGAAAGACCCAGACCAAACTGAGCTTCTGCCAGGATCTGTGTGTGAGCGGACACCCCGTCCCCATGTTCCCCTTGCACACACAGAGGGGGAACCCGGGGCACCGCCAGTGTTGCCTGCCTCATGAGACAGCCAGGCGTATTGGGGTGCACACAAGTCAGCTGGGATCCCCCGTCCCAAGAAAGCAGGAAGGGCAACTTGACAGCACCTCCTACCATTCTGCTGTTCCCCTTCTATTTACTTACTGCACCCCAGGGACCGGACCCAGCACTTTTGTACTAAGCTGCATTCCCAGCCCTCTTTTTCTCATTTTTAGTTTTTACACTGCAAGGGGGTCTCGCTAAGTTGCCAAGTTGTCCTGACTGGACTCTGGAGCCTGCCTCAGCGTGCCTGAGTGCTGGGGCAACAGGCATGTGCCACCATGCCTGGCTTCATCCTCTGACCCTGGGACTGTATGTGCTGTTTGTATCTTTCTGTTTCAACCTTGATCTAAAACCACCTCATCTTTCCAGAAGACAGTCCATCCACGCCCCACACTGCGTCCATCTCTGTGTGAGGTTTGGGTTACGAGCACAGTGCCACTTTTCCAGAAATATCACTGTGCTTGACTCAAACAACTCCAAAAGGTGGAATTTGGTGTAACTCAGAAAAACCCAGAGACAAATTGAACTTGATGGAGAAAACCATCACAGCCCTGGGAAGTGGTGGTCAGGGACCTCAGTGGCATCACAGCCTCCTGGAGACATCTGCCAAGGGCAGCTTGCCTGGCGCCTCTGGGTCTGAGTTTCCACATCTCTAAGCAGGGCTGGCACCATTATTGTTGGCATCTGGTTATTACAGGAAGATGCCAAAGATGGCAGCCTTCATGCACCTCCAGCAAAGGCCAGCTCAGGGACACCACCAGGGCATCTGCCTCGCTACGGTCCCTGTCTGTCCCTCACATGAATTCCCACTCTGGGATCCCTGGGAGGGTCCATGCCAAAATGGGAGGTGCCCTGCAGGGAAAGGAGTGTTCTCATACAAGGGGGACCTGGGTATTAGCATCTGTTATTTGACTGTTTTTGAAAAATGAAAATGTTTCTTCCAAAGAACTCTTGCAGAAGTCCAGTGAGTAGGGCAGAGCCAGTCCTCGGGAGCTGAGAGGGAGGCAGAGTCCCTGGGCCTGCTGAGAGCTTCCTTTACTAAGGGACCCAACACAGCTGTGTCCCCATGGGGGAACCACTGGGCCATGCACTTCGGTTAACCTTCCTGAAACAGTAGAGCGTCTTCACGAAAGTTGGGGAGGGTAAAAACACTAGGTTGATAGGAGCAGCATTGACCTGACCTTCGGGCCTGTGTTCCAGGTGTCCCCCTGTGAGAGGTGTCGCTGTGAGGCCAACGGCGAGGTGCTGTGCACAGTGTCAGCATGTCCCCAGACGGAGTGTGTGGACCCCGTGTACGAGCCCGACCAGTGCTGTCCCATCTGCAAAAATGGTACGTGGGATTCGGACCAGTGGTGGCCACCAAGCTGTCTGCTCCAGGCTCCACGCCTGGCAGACGGATGCGTCCAGAGAGATGTGCGAGCACATGTGTGTGCAAACATGCGTGTCTGGTGTTTGGTCGGAGTTGCCAGAACCGGGACTTTCTGTGTCTTTCTGGTGTCAGCTGGTGTTGTATGGATGCTCAGAATTTCTTCAGGGAGAAATTCAATTTCCACCTCCGAGGAAAGTCACTTGTTTTAATTTGGCTTTGTTTGTTCTTGCAAAGCAGTTTCTCTTTTTCCAAAACAGATCAAACATGCTGCTTAAGATCATTTGCTTTTCATTACTAAGTAAGTTAAACTTGAATCATAATTGAATATTTTTCTTAAGCAAATGAGGCAGGAAATGCTTTCCCCTCGCTCTGCCCTTGTTCCTAGTGAAAGCTGTGGGGAGATCAGAAGCCACTGCTGTGTTGGGGCAGCAGACGCCAGATGTCCTGACCCTCACTGACCGAGGGGCATTCCTCCCTGTCCTGAAGGAGGAGACGCCCTGCCCCCAAGGCCCTGAGCACTGTGCAGGAAATTAATTGCCCTGCTCTGTGAGGTTTGGGTCTCGTTCTTAGCCAGAACAGACTTGGAGATTGTGCTTGAGACGGGGATTGGAGATAGAGGTTGAGGAGAGCTTGGAAGAGGAAAGAATTGAGAGTCACAACCCTGGTGTCCGTGGACCTGAGTGTCCTCCTTGGAGAGAGAGACTGGGCTTCCTGGGCATCACCTATGGAACATCCTATAGTCTCGGTCTGTGAGGTCTTCATCTGTGAGCCTGGCTGGGCTGAGGCTGGACGGCTGTGTGACGTGGCTGTGTATGTGGCCGGTGGACTTGGGGGTATGGAGGCACGGGACGTTCATGATGTCCCAGACTGCTGAAATGCCATCAAAACAAGGGCCCGAGGTGCCTCAGAAGTCTTCTATAGGGCACCACCCTCCACCCCCATGACACTCTTGAGCTGCATGAGTGGGAGGAAGATGACATTCCTGTTGAAGGAAAATCTGAAAAGGCCGGCACTGTATCAGAGAGACACGGATCATGGAAACCTGGTCCAGGAAAATGGTATGGAGTGGGATGCATGGCTCAGCAGCTCTTTTGTGTGTATTTGGAAGAATCCATGAGTTCAGAGTCCAGCAGATGAGGAGGAAGGCAAGCAGCCTGAAGCCTCTTCATTTAAACGAGATGTCAAAACGCTTCTGTGCAGTTGAAAGGAATCCTTGTGATTTATGGAGCTGGTGTACAGGCAAGATAAAGAATGCAGTGAATGTTTACATCAGAAATGTTTACTACACTGAAAGGCACAGTGTCATTAATCCCCTCGGAATCCTCTCCCTCACCTTCAACACCCTGGTCCCAGCACTGCCACCTTCTGCAGCAGCTCTGAAGTCCCCTTTCCTGAGTGTCTCTGCCTTCATGGTTGCATCAGTACCCTGAGTCCATTTAGAATGCTTCCCTCTCGTGGTCCTTGTGACTTTGGGGAAGAGCCGGAAGTCACAGGGTGCCAGATCTGGTGAATAAGTGGATGAAGAACCGCTGATCCTTTGAGAGGCCCACCTTCCTGATGGCTGGGGGGCAGCATCAGTGTGCACATTTTTATCAGGCCTCTTTAAGACACTCAGGAAAGAGACTCTAGAGCTGCTGCAGAAAGGGGCGAGGATAATGGGTGTGGGTGGCTGAGACTGCAGGGGTACAGCACTGTCCCTGGCTTCCCTCTCTCTCTAAGTTTATTACCTCAGGTACTTTGTTATAGTAACGGAAAGCTGACAGCCACTGATGAAGCAAATGCATAATGTTAACAACTGGTGAATCTGGGTGACAGCTATGCTGAAGGTCTTCGTGTTGTTCCTGACATTTTATTGTGAATTTAAAATTATTTGAAAATAAAGAGGTTTTTTTTAAAAAAAATCATACATATATAAAAAAGAAAAACAAAATACATATGTTGAAGTGAAAGGCAAGTATTTTGCAAATGTACCTGTTTTTTACTGTAGTACTTTTTTAAAAATTAAACATTCACTGTATTATTTGGTCACAACTTGTAAGTTAGAAGACATGGAGGAAGCGAGGGACGAGAGAGGGACGAGAGTCTCTGGCCTGGGGGTGACATGGTGTCAGATGGTGGAGTCACATTGGGGTGCAGGACCCCTTGCAGGGAGAGGGACAGGAGACCAGCTGGTCACACAGTCAAACTGTGTGTAGCAAGTGGCTTCAGTGCTGGTGGCTGGAATATGTGGTCTCTTCATTATGCGAGGTTATGTGAGGTTTCACTTCTCTCTTGGTAAATATCTAGGTTTTGAGGTCAGATAGCCATGGAACCCCAGCTCAGGGGGATCAGGGTAGAGCTGAATCAGAAGTTCAATCCTAGAGTCTCTTTTACCTGTCTTTTCCTTTAGAAGAATTTCAGACCAGAGGAAAAGTTGCAGTAATTCTGCAGTGAACAGTGACACACCCCGGTCTGTGTCACCTGTTCTTGACAGTTTGCTTCTTCCTTTCTTGGTCTGGTGGCCCTGGTGACCCAGCTCTTCCCAGCATAAACTAGCAGGGTCAGAGAGATGGCCCAATCATTCTGTCCTGGGACACCCGGAAACCTCCTGCCGATCCCGCCTGCAGACCACATAGCTGTGGCGTGGAGATTGTCTACACATTCAGCTTTACTTCTGCACTCCAAGAGGCAGGAGGGATGAAAAGAAGGCATGGCTTTTCTGGTGAGGAGTTAGAGTTTATTTTCACTGTGTAGCTGTTGTCGTCAGTCCCTGTCTGCAGTGCAGAATGCTCCATCCTTGTATGGAGTTGGTGCACAGACATCGCACCTCTCCATTCTTCCTTCATCCCCTTTTCTTTGCTCCACCTTTCCCTTGGGGAAAGATCCACCTCCCTACCTCTGCCTATTATTTTATTCATTATTTACATGTCAGATTTCTCATATAAAAGAAGCTGTGGAGTACTGAGGTGTGCGTGTCTGACTTACTTCACTTAACATAGCCTCATGGTGCATCCATTTCCTTACACATGATCCAAGGTTTTGTTTCTCTGTAGCGTAGTAATGCTCCACTGTGTGCAAACAACACATTTTATTTATCTGTTCATCCCTTGATGGACATAGAGGGCACTTACAGGGTTTAGCTGTTACAAATTGCTCCACTGCAAACATGGATATGGGTGTGTCATTATGGTAGGATATCTTTAGTTTTGGAGAAGATGCCTATAAGGATGAATAAGGTTTTCTAAACTAGATTTACATTACAGATTTTTGAATGAAGAGATTTGAGCTGATTGTATCAAAGTGTTAACAGTTTCATATTGTCAAGACCACAGCTAAAAGGAAATTGAAATGGGTCTATTCATGTCCTTAGGAAGTTTTCTTTCATGTAGCAGAGAGAACCTGGCTTTGAGCTGTCTCCAGTTACAGGATATTCTGACCTTGACCAGGCATTTTGGGCCAGAGATACCGAACGAAGAGATTTGCTCAAAGAATGAAAACCATTTCTGTCAGAAGTAAATGCGTATGATAATTGAAATTAATAAATAATTTTTAGCAAGTTTCAGTATGTCTGCCTCCCCACATGCAAAACTATAGTGGTTTTGTAAGAAAAGATTTTGTCTGATGCATCACATATTAGAGGACATCAAAAATAGATGCCTTATGTAAAATTAAATGGTAGGGTGGACTTCGCTGGGATGAAATATGAAGGTTTTAGCTCTTGACCTTGGCAGTCCACGCCATGTGTCACGACCTGTAGCATTAAATAGCTCTTTCTCCAAAGAAGGGAAATTACAGTTTGCTTGCTGGCTGCCAGAGTCACTGGAATCAAAGCAGCACAAGATTGAAATCCAGAATGTCCTGCATATAAATAAATGATCACAAATCAAATACAGTTTAATATATTCACTTTGTTGATTTGTGTTGATTCCTCTCCGAAGGTTTCTCTTCTGATAAAAATGGATGCTTTACAACACTGTTTTTCCTCTCTGTTTCTCCCACATGGTACCAACAGGAAGTGCTATATTGACACTCAAGGGTCCAGGTTTTTGTCTGGGCTGGGTGCACCTCAGTAGTTCACAGCTCCCTTTGCACTCAAGGCCCATGACCCCAGACGTGCTTATTGGCATTCACTAAGCGAGGGATAAGAAGATCCTCCTGCCCTGCGTGTGCCATCATCTGACTTTAGGGACCCAGAGAATTGGTAAGAAGTAAGACATCACTGTTCCAATATGAGATCCTTGTCAGAATAGCTCTGCTCCTCCAGGGTAGAGTATAGTACTCTACGGAGCACCAAGATGTCTGCGAAAGCACGGAGACCCTGAATGTAAAGTCTGCATATTTCCCTGGTGGCCCACTGCTGCTTGACAACATCATTTTCACACCAAAATAAACACAGTTTTTGTGGAGGGAAATGCAAAACATTGAACATTTCAGAGAAACACCGAGGGTTCCTATGATTAGATGTACTCACATCTGAGAAGCTCTGAGAACTAGGCAGCGTTTTGTTAGGTGGTTTTCCCAGGGGCTGCTTAGTTAACATTTGTGAAGTGAATTGAACAGGACTGATTGGTGCATGTGGCTGTGATTCAAACCAAGATGCTGTCACAAAGAAAAGCTTCCTGCAGCAGAGGCGTGTGCAATGACTCCTTCCAACATTTACCAAAGAAATACGACTCCCTTAGTGGGGACGGCCTGTCACTATTGACAGATTATATAGCTCTGTCTCTTTCCAAATATCAGGATGAGTAATTAACTTCAGCAGGTTTTAAAAGCAAAGGTAGTGTTTAAAAGTCAGCTATATTATTAGATGCCATCAACAAATAGAAACAAATTAAAAACCACAGTCTCAAATGACATGATAGAAGTAAACCCTGTACTAGATTTCCATAAATAAAAATCTTGAAGCCACATGGAGAGAGCTACTAAAAGATCAAGTAAATAGAGAGAGACAACATAGTTAGATCTGGAAGACTCAGTAACTT